AGCAAGTCTGGAGAAAGACCTGGGAATCTGAACATTTAACTGGCACTAGACAGAATGTTTTGAAGTGGTAAACCTGAGAAACAGCACTTAATATAGTTCCTCTTGAACTCTCAGCCTCCTACTTCCCTGATGCCTGGCCTACCGTGGCTGTTAGCTTCACTGCCTGCCACTGGGATCCTTGTGCTTCCTAGAATGTGTCCAGTTTCTACATCAGTTCTGCCACTTTCTAGCCAGCTCAGTGCATTTGGGAATTGACATTGCAGCATCTGCATTGTGAAAGGGTTGGCTACTCCTTCTTCCCTCTGTAGAGATTTTTTAACTGTTTGTGGTTTTGTTTAGCCTGAGCCCAGGAAGAGGCTTAGCATGTCAGTTTTCCTCTTTGTAGCAATTTGGGTTGAAGATAGATTTGGAAAGGAAATTGGAAAGAAAACAGTCAGTTCTCAAATGTCCACATTTTCCATTAGTGTCGTTACCAGGAACTTTCAGCATCTGCCAGGGCCCTTCAAGCTTCTCAGCTCATAGTGCTACTAAAGGGCTGATCTATCCAATTGCTTCACTTTGGAAACTGTTCATACATGCCTGTCATGCCCATGAAAATGCAGACCTCAGGCTAATGATTGTCACAAAGCAAGATGTACGCCAGATTTAGCCCACCCAGTGTTCTTTCCAAGTGCCCTCCAGGAAGACAGCACACAGCACTGCTGCAGCCTTTTGCATGGCCCATAGACCAGCCAGGTACCTAGGGAACTATCCACCCTTCTCCACTCATGGAATAACCTCTCTTTTTCTGAGCCCCTCAACACTTGACCTCACTCTCAAATTCTTTCTACCCGAGGCTCTGATTCTAACCTGGTTCCCAATCAGTAGGACTTCAAGGAGCCCTGCCCTAATGCAGAGAGACCCACAATGCACCACAGAGTCAATGTGGCCAGCATCCTGCTCCAACCTGTGTTGTTTATCCCAGCTATGGTCCAGTTCCTCTGGGATCAGGTGTTGATCCTGTTCCTGTCTTCAGGGATTAGTCTTGGGTTTGACCTCATACCTGAGGATGAGGGTACCGTTTATCAAACCCCTCACCTCAGCCATCTCCCAGGTTGCTGTATTCCTCTGCCTATCTACCCATATATTCAACCTTCCTCTCACCAGATCCTGCCCTAGCCTCCTAGACATGGAGCTCCATCTTCCGGGGCTTCTTCCCACACCTGCAGCTGGCTCCAACTCCACCAACAGCTTCTAGTCTCCAGATCTCTGATCAGAGGTTAATGGATAGTTTTGAGTCCCAGATACATAGGGAGGTATAATAAAATCCCCAAGAGAGGATATCTCCACATGGATTCATGGGGTTGTGTGTGACTCTCTGTGAAGTAGCTCAGAAACCAACATTTCAGATGAAACATTTTGGTCCTGCTTGTATTGCTTCTACAGGCTTGTGTGCTACAAAGGAAAGGTTGCATTAGTTCATCAGTTCAGGTTCACCAAGAAGCAGACATCAAGATGGGATTACAGGCCAAGCCCAGTGGCTCACATCTGTAATCCTAGCACTTTGGGAGGCTGAAAAGGGCAAATCACCTGAGGTCAGGAGTTCGAAACCAGCCTGGCCAACATGGCGAAAACACATCTCTACTGAAAATACAAAAATTAGCTGGGCATGGTGGCACACACCTGTAATCCCAGCTACTCAGGACGCTGAGGCAGGAGAATCACTGGAACCCGGGAGGCAGAAGTTGCAGTGGGCCAAGATTTCATCACTGCACTCCAGCCTAGGTGACAGAGTGAGACTCTGGCAAAAATAAAAAATTAGAAATGAAATGAAAGAGTTTTTGGGAGAAGTTGCACAAGAAGGTAAAGAAAGCCTCAGACCATGGTGTAATTTTCACCATGGAAGGAGAGAGGACAGAAAGGAAGGCTGGCTAGGAAGAATTTCAGACTGCAGAGCAATTCCAAGAAAGGTTCAGCCAAGTTATTAGGGAACCCTTGGACCAGAGGCGGGAGGAGAACCCATCCCACCAGAATGGTCCTGCCTTCATAAAATAAAAATGAAACAAAAGGAAACTTTTCAGGTATCTTGGAATGATAAAATAAGTTAGAGACTCATCCATTTCATAGCCAGTCTTTAGAGAAGGTGGTAGCTGTGAAAGAGAAGAAGTAAGCAGTCTGAACTCAGACCTGCAGGAAGAAGGACTAGGATCATCTAGGCAGGCAGCTGCTATCCACAAAGCAGCAGCCTAGGGCCTAAAAGGGCGTTGAAGTTTCCCATGAAACAGCAAGCACACCAAGCTAGAGACTTGGTAAAAGTCACCTAAGTATCATTAGCCTTTGATCCAGCCTACAGGCTGGGAGGGCCTAGGCTCCTGATCCAAGCATTATTGGACCTCATCTATGGCAACCAAGGGCAAAATACGAAGGCCAACACAAAGGCTGTGTTTAACTTGTCGCTGAAGCAAATGCTTTCTCTCACTTTTCTTTTCTGATCTGTCTGAACTAACCTCACACAAGAGCAGGAATGTCTTAATTAAGATTTTCAGATTGATAATCCTTGAGAAGTTCATCAAAGACCCACCTCTCTCTCTATTCTTGACTCCCCCCCACCCCCAGGGGACTGAGTCAAGCTTTGAGGAGGAGGGCGACCTGCAGGCCCAAGCTCCAAAGTCCAGTTCTACCAGGAAGGGGCCAGAAGGCATTGATGTACTTGGTGGACTTCAGCAGCTGGGGAGAAGCACGTCATTGTTCACGTCCTTCTCAGACACCAGCTGGGCCATGATCTGTGTGACATTCCAATCCTGAGTCTGCAGTCCCTACTGAGCACTGTTCCGGCACTGGGCTGTTCCCAGGTGATTGTGGACTCAGTGGGAGAGTGAACTGCCTATGCTTTTAGGTGAGCTGCTACTGTGGCTTCTTGCCCAGGAGCACAGCTTCCTGCTGTCCACTGCTACCCTTAGCAGGGTGTTTGTCTTCACCTCTGAAACTGTAATCCTCATTCTCCATGGAGTGTGTTGCAAAGGAGAAATCAGCGAGGGGCAGTTGTGGGGGGGAGGAAGAACACACAGTGGAGGCTGGGCCAGGGCTGGAACACACTGGAGTAGGGGTCAGAGGGGACAGGGTGAGGTGCACCGAGGTATGAAACTGGGGAGGAGTGAGTCCACTGTGTATGGGGTTGTGGGCAAAGATGGAGGAGTGATCTGTTCCTGCCATTTTTAATGATGTATTTTATAACATTTGATACATATGAGAGTATAGATGTGAGAGTGTGTGTGTGTGTAATGTGTATGCATATAAAACAAATACTCATAAGCTCACCATCCAAACCAAGAATTGCAACATAAGCCTCTAACAGATTTTGCCTTCTATTATAAGACAGTTTTTAAAATTGTTTCTGTTAAATATTAAATAAATACACAAGAATAACTATAAAGGAAAATAACACAAGTAACTTTTGTGTGCCCTGTATGCCTCTCCCTAATTCTGTTTATGACTATTTGCTACCACCTAGAAATGTGATTCTAAGAACATGTCCTAGGTGAAAGTGTTCTGGATTTAGAATCCTTGTGAAGCCATAATTAGGGACAAGTTACTTAACCTATGATATCCTCACTTTCCTCCCGTGTAAAGAGAAAAAATATTACCTGCCTGAGGTTGCTACAAGAAATAAATGAGGTATTGCATGTAAAAATGCCCAGCATAGTATCTAGAAAGTAGTTGGTGCCTGCTGCCTCCTTCCCTGGCCATTGCAAGAGTCCTTTGAGTTACAAAATTCTATGTTTCCGTCAATGTAATGTTTCCACATTAGCACAGAGTCTGAGGTCATAGCAGGGATGAAAATGTTCTGGATTTAGGGACTACAGACTCAGGATTGGAATGTCACACAGATCGTGGCCCAGCTGGTGTCTGAGAAGAACGTGAACAACGATTAGACATACTTAATACTTTGAACTTCATAGCATAACACCTTCTTAAAGTTGAAAGTATTTATTTAATTTGGCCTTTTTTTTTCTCAATTAAAAGAAGTTATTACTTTGGGCAAAGAAAAATTAAAAGATAAAGGGATTTTTTTTAACCTTTATACTAAATTAAAACTTTATTGAATAAAGAACACTCTCCAGAACACACAATTTGATGATGGTCTAGGTCTACATTACATGCAATGAAGCTGAACATGACAGTAGTTTAACATGGAATGTCAAACAAATTAGTATAGTATTTTTCATTGTACAAAACTGTTTATATAGCTGACATGCAAGATGAAAAGTGTCATACTCAGCATTTTCATTAATCATCTCTGATGAATTTTAAAAAAGGCATTTGGAGAAACTGGTAGATGTCTTCAGCATACAGTTCAAATAAATTAGTTATATGCGTACTACTGAATCCTCTTTAAACCTCTCTTGCATTCCCAGTAAAATCTTAGTGCAAATATCAAATTTGCTGGTCATGCCAAAAGACTGTAAAACTCATAATAGAATACAAGTTCTGAATGACTGTGTATTAAGAAGGGCAAACCCAAGAATACCAGTTACTGCAAAATTCATTTAGGCACACTTAATAGTCCACTCTAAGTATTTTTTCTAAGTCTCTCACATTAATGATTAAAGCCTGTTTACAGTACTATAATTCTATCATTCAAGCATCAATGATTACATTTCAGAAAAAGAAAATCATTCATTTCAGTAATAGCATTATTGCTATATCCTAAAAAAAAAAAAAAAAGAGAGAAAGAATCATAATTAACAAAACGAGTATCCATAATAGGATACATGGGGAAAAACGTTTTAGGGAAAAAAAAGTGTGCTTTACTTGCCACAGCAGGAATTATATAATGTAAACACCATATTGGCCCACACCACAAAAATCCATGAGAAAAGTTCAAATTTGAACACCGTATGTGCATTATTTTCAAATCTGTGTTTGTGAGTTTATACTGTATCTGCTTGTACCAATACATAACAAAACACACTCTTCCACACACATACACATACAAGTGATTACTAAACATTAAGCATGGCTTGATTCCCTGACTCTAGCACAAAAAAGAAAAAAATGTTACATTACATCGCAACTGTCTTAAAAACGTTTACAGAAACCATTAAATGAATGTGAGTAGTAGTGGAGGAATGATGAAAATGTGATGGTAATGATACAGTGCAAGTGGATGGGAAAAGAATGTAGTAGGTATAATGCTGAAATTTGCAAATGCATGGTAAGTCTTATTCTGTGGGCCTTATCTGAATATGAAACTGATACCAAGAATAAAAAAAAACATATAGTAGCACAAGTCCATTGACACCTGGAGGGTCAGGCCTAGAAAGCTTACCTTCAAAGTGCAAATTTTAACAATGGAATGCTTTAGCAGGGACTTAAGGACAATCCTCTATCTTTTCCTTGTTGAAAAGACCAAAGGTGTTCAGGTAGTATTTATTCCTGGGTAAAATTATTTCAGTTTCTCGGTAGAACAAAAATATTTAGTCACAATTACCACCCACTCATTCACATACACAGAACTATTCTTAGGGGTGTTTGCGGGGAGAAAAAGCCCTTATCTATATAACACCTAATGGAACTCTTATTTATAATCTAAGTTCTTTGAATCCACTACTTTAAATAGCAACATGCACCTCTCTTATCCCCTCCCTCTCCACCCATCTACCCCAAACACCCCCAATGAACCTAGGTATTCTAATGTCTTTGTGTTTTCTCAGCCTCATGAGTAAGGCTGTTAAGTACCACCTCCACTGGATCAAAATTAACACCTGGTGCACTTTCTACAGCACCTTTTTTCTTCTCCACAGTTGAGTGGAATCTTGATGCTTTCAAGCCTGTATCTAGATCTCCAGGTCAACAGGCCGAGGTCTGCTGCTGGCACGACTGCTGGCTCTGCTTGAAGGTCGCTGGTCCACAATGGCTAGTGGCTGTAGTTCGTGTCCAGCAGCTAGTTTTTTAGAATTCTGGTTATCATCGGGGAAATCAAAAGGCTGTGCATGGGAGTTAGAGATGGTGCTTCCCGCTTGCCCCATTCGATTTTGTTCTGCACTGTAATTAGCCCGGTTTTGCTCGCTTGCTTGCTTGTTATAATTGCGGCAAGAAGAATTGTTTCTGTCGCCAGTAACCAGCTTGTACCCAGGAGGAGACATGGGTGAGAGGGGAGCGGTTGGTGAGGAGCAGCCATTGAAATAAGCGTATTTTGGAGACCCACAGTCTTTGGAGGGACTCAGCAGACCAGTGGTGGCATGGTAAGGGTCGCTCTTTCCCTTAACTCGATCCTTAACGCCGATAAAGGGATATTTAAAACAACTATTTTGTGGAAGTCAGGGACCATCTTGTATTTTTCCATGTGTCTCTAGAGCAGCATGGTGTCTGGGAATAAGCACATCGAAGTTGTTTATAATTGAATCTATAAATCAATTTGGGGAAAACAGACATGTTTGCAACGTGGAGTCTTTTTATTCAGGAACATCATGTATCTCTCAATTTACTTAGATCTCTTAAAATATTTTCACTAAATGTTATAAATTTAATAGTAGCATTGTTCATAATAGCATCAGAGAACTTCTCAAACCTGGCGAAAGATATCAACATTCAAGTACAAGAAGGTTATACAACACCAACCAGATTTAACTGAAAAAAAGGCTGCCTCAAACATTTAATAGTCAAATTCCCAAAGATCGAGGATAACAGAAAGCTCCTAAAAGCATAATAGCAAATAAATTGAAAATAACCCAAATACCCATTGATAGGAGAATTAATAAAAAGTTTGATATAGTCATATAATGAAATTCTATACGATGGCAAAAATAAATGAACTAAAGCCACACACATCAACAGAGGTGATACTAAAAAACAGTTTTTAGAAAAACACATAGCATATAAAATGTTTTTATAAGCAGAGAAAAGGAATCTCAATGATATATTGTTTAGAAATACAAAACTGTGTAGCAAAACCTTAAGGAAAGCCAACTTGGCCTTGAATGACAGAGTAATTCAGACCAACCCTTCAACTGAAGACAAATAAAAAGAAGTGGTGAAATGTTTTGAATTTTCTTTAAGCATCAAAGAACCAACAAGATGTTAGAAACACAGAAAATATCAAGCTCTGAACTAGTATTAAGATGAATTCAAATTGCTAGCTCTCCCCCATACTATCACAATATAAAAAAATATTTTTTAAATACTGCTTAGAAAAAGACAAGCTCTTCCTGGGTCTCAAATTATTTCTAAAAATAATAGTTTGGTTACAGGAAAACTGATGATTAAAGATAATCAGACACTCAAGAAGAAAAGATGCCATGAGTCGAGGATAATAGAAAGCTCCTAAAAGCAGCAAGAAAAAAAAAACAAATTACAGAAAAAGGAGCTCCAATATGTCTGGTAACAGACTTTTAAATGGAAACCTTACAGACGAGAAGAGAGTTGCATGACATATGTAAAGTAGTGAAGGGGGAAAAAAAAACCACTTTTACCCTAGAATAGTATATGCAGCAAAAATATCCATCAGACATGAAGGAGAAATAAAGACTCCCGGACAAACAAAAATTTCAAGATTTTGTCAACACCAGATCTGTCCTATAAGAAATGATAAGGGGAATTCTTCATTCTGAAAGAGAAGAATGTTAATGACCAATAAGAAATAATCTGAAGGTACAAAGCTACTGGTAACAATAAGTACACAGACTATTATAACATAGTAATTGTGATGTTTACACTATTTCTATCTTGAGCAGGAAGATTAAAAATGAACCTATCAAAAGTAATAACTACAAACTGTCAAGATATAGACAGTATAATAAGATGTAAATAAACAATAAAAAGTTGAAAAGCAAGGAGATGATTTTAAAGTATAAAGGTATTGTTAGTTTTCTCTTTGTTTTTGCAATCAGAGTTAAGTTGTCATCAGTTTAAAATAATAGGTTATAAGATGTTATTTGCAAACCTCATGGTAACTTTAAATCAAAAAAACCTACAACAGATACACAAGACACATATAAAGCAAGAAATTAAAGATACCAGCAGAGAAAATCACTTTTACAAAAAAAAAAGAAGAAGAAGAAGAATGAAGAAAGGAAGGAAGGAGGGAAAAGAAGGCATGGGGAGGGAAGAGAAAACAAATAACAAAATTAATGTAGTAAGTTTATACTTATTAATAATAATAACATTGAATGTAAATGGACTAAACCCTCTAATTAAAAGCACAGAGTGGCTAAATGATTTTAAAAACAAGACCCAATAATCTGTTGCCTACAAGAAACGTGCTTCACCTACAAAGATACACCTGGGCTGAAAATAAAGGGGTGGAAAAGATATTTTATAAAAATGAAAACCAAATAAAAAGTAGTAGTAACTGTATCAGAGAAAATAAATATCAAGACAAAACTACAAAAAGAGACAAACAGGGATTATGTAACAATAAAGGGGTTAATTCAACAAGAAGATACAAAAGTTGTAACATATATGCACCCAGTACTGGAGTGCTCAGATATATAAAAGCAAGTGCTATTAGAGCTAAAAAGAGAAATCAATTCCAATACAATACATTGAGATTTCAATATCCAACTTTCAGTATTAGAGTGATCATCCAGATAGAAATCAACCAAGGAATATTGGACCTAATCTGCATCAAATAAACCTAATAGATATTTACAGAATATTACAACCAACGGTTGCAGAAGACACATTCTTCTCCTTAACACATCAATCAATCTCAAGGATAGAATATATGTTAGGCCACAGAAAAAGTCTTAAAACTTTCTGAAAATTGAAATCATATCAAGTATTTTCTCTGACCACAATGAAATAAAACCAAACATCAATAACAAGAGATACTTTGAAAAGTTACAAATACCTGGAGACTAAACAATATGCTCCTGATCAGTGAGTCTGTGAAGAAATTAAGAAAAAATTTTAAACTTTCTTAAAACAAACAGAAATAGAAACACAACATACCAAAATCTCTGGAATACAGCAAAAGCAGTACCAAGAACAAAGTTTATGGCAATAACCACTTATATCAATAAAAGAAGGAAAACTTTTAATAAACAATTAAATGATGCATCTTTAAAAACTAGACAAACAAAAACAAACTAAACCTAAAATTAGTAGAAGAAAAGAAATAATAAAGATCAGAGAAGAAATAAAAATAATTCAAACAAAAAATACAAAAGACTAATGAAATGATGTGTTGGTTTTTCTGAAAAAATAAACAAAACTGACAAACCGTTAGTGAGACTAAGAAAAATAGAGAGAAGACCCAAATAAATGAAAAAGGAGACATTACAACTGATACCACAAAAGTTCAAAGAATCATTGGTGGCTACTATTAGCAACTATATGCCAGTAAATTTGAAAATCCAGAAGAAATGGATAAATTCCTAGATACATACAACCTACCAAGATTGAACCAGGAAAAAATTCAAAACCTCAAGAGGCCAATAACAAGTAACAAGATCAAAACCATAATAAAAAGCCTCCCAGCAAAGAAAAGCCTGGGAACTGATGGCTTCACTACTGAAATCTACCAAATACTTAAAGAACTAATACCAAACCTAATCAAAATCAAACTATTCCAAAAAGCAAAGAAGGAAATACTTCCAAACTAATTCTACAATGTCAGTATTACCTTGATACCAACACCAGACAAAGACACATTAAAAAAAAAAAAAAACTGGGGTCCAAAGTGGCTCCCACCGGAGGTCATGGCGCTTGCGAAGCCAAGGTCATCAGTTCAAGGCTAACCTGAGCAACCTCATAAGCTCAAACTGATTGGCAAGAAAAAAAAAAAACTACAGGCCAATATCTATGCTAAATATTCATGTGAAAATTCTCAACAGAAGACTAGCAAACCAAATTTAATAATACATTAAAAGGACCATTCATCATGACCAAGAAGGATTCGTACCAGGGATACAACGATGATTCAACACATATGCAAATCAACCAATGTAATATATCATATCAGCAGGATAAAGGACAGAAACCTTATGATTATTTCAATTGATTCTAAAAAAAGTTGATAAAATTCAACATTTCTTTATGATAAAAAGCCTGAAAAAATAAGGTATAGCAGAAACATACCTAAACATAATAAAAGCCATAGAGAATTGACCCACAGCTAGTATCACACTAAACAGGGAACAACTGAAAATTTTTCCACTAGAATCTGAAACAAGACAAGTATGCCCAATTTCACCAGTGTTATTCAGTGCTAGAGAAATTAGACAAGAGAAAGAATCAAAAGGCATCCAAATTAAAAGGAACATCAAATTTTTCTTGAAAAAAAAAAAAAAAAAAAAACCTTAGAGCTGATAAGTTCAGTAAAGTTGCAAGACACAAAATCAGCATACAAAAATCAGTAGCATTTCTGGCCAGTTGCAGTGGCTCATGCCTGTAATCTTGGCACTTTGAAAGGCCAAGGTAGGCAGATGGCTTGAGTCCAGGGGTTAGAGACCAGCCTGGGAAACATGATGAAGCCCTATCTCTATAAAAAATATACAAATTAGCCATTAGCACACGCCTGAAGTCCCACCTACCCGGGAGGCTGAGGTGGGAGGATCACTTGCTGGGGGGCTGAAGGTTGTAGTGAGCTGAGATAACACCACTGCACTCCAGCCTGGGTGACAGAACAGGACACTGTCTCAAAAAAGAAAAAAAAGAAAAGCATTTCTATATGCCAACAGTGAACAATCTGAAAAAAACATGGGAAGTGGTCAAGATGGCCAACTAAAAGCAGATAGGGTGAGTGGCTCTCACAAAGAAGAACGAAAGGGGTGCATAAATACAGCACCTTCAACTGAAACATCCAGGTACTCACAGTGAGACTAATCAAGGAAACAACTCAACCCATGGAGAACAGAGAAACGCAAGGCAGAATGATGGCCCACCCAGGAGCAACCCAGAGCACAGGGAATCTCCCTCACTCACTGCCCAGGAAGCAGTGAGTGAATATGCAACCCCAGGAAACCATGCTTTTCCCACAGAGCTGTGAAACCGTTGGGTCAGGAGAATCCCTCACAAACACACTCCACTAGGGCCTACAGTTTGACACACAGAGATATGTGGAGTAGTGGCAGAGCAGCCACTCAGGCATGCACAGAGACCCAGGAGATTTAGATGCTTCAGCTCCTGGCTTCCCAACAAAAGTAACTGAAACTCTGGCAAAGCAGGAGAATACGCCCCCATACATATTCCAAAGAAAGAGACTGAATCCAGGGCACCAAGCAGCAACAGTCTCCAGGCCCCACTTCCATGGCACCTTAGAGGATAAGAGCCACTGGTTTGAAATTTCTGCCAGCCACTGGCAGTGTTGTCGCACCTA